ATCACGCTAAATGCTGGTGTTTCTCATCACCAACTATCCTGCAACTTCCCAGTTTTAGGACGAGTATTACTTTTCGCTGTCTGTCAAAATAGGATTTTTTTTTTTTTTTTTTTCGATCTTTCTCGCCAATTTAGATATGGAGTTAGGTGTTTCTTGAATCATTCGGTCTTTAATATAAGTTGCTTGACAAGGGAAATAATTTATCCATTAGGGACCTTGATCTTAACGCCAATATTTTTGAAATAATCTTGTAACTCATATTGTAATTAGAAGTAGAGATAACCAGTGGGTTATAACCTGAAATATTCTATGCAGCAGTAATTAATTACTTGCACGTCCACAATTAATTTCCATGTTAAGCATAGTCCACCTCTATTCCCAATTGCTGCCCAAATTTGAGACTGATCAAAACCAAGCTTTAAACAAGTAGAATTCATTCTTAAACCATCAGGTTTTGTTTTTCACAAGAAAATAATTTCTGAATCAGTATCTTCAATAACATCCCTTAAACTCCTTGGTATAGAGGTATGAGCTAACCCTCTGTAGTTAGCTACTATAGATTTCATGGCTCTCATAGAGGTGTCAGGCCCTAGCTTTGTGCTTGATTCTGATTTGCCTCTCGTTCCAAGAGCATGAATTTGAAGGAAATAAGAGGAAAAGATAATGAAGGTTACCTTTGGATAGAGATCATGTTCTGTTGGCCATCTTGGAGAAGAGCTTTTTTTAGGATAAGACCCGATATGTTATTGGATTGGGATTCTTTTAAGAATGTTAGTGCTGAACTAATCTGTAATTTGGGCATTCTTAGCAGTTGCTAAACTTCTGTCTCCTTCTAAAAGTGCTTTCTTTGTTGATGGAGGTAGAGCTGTGGGAAAGGCAATACTTGTTTTTTGTTCAGTTCAGCATTAGATGTTGGTTATGCTCTGAATATTTCCTGATACATTCACCAGACAATTCCATGATAGAATAAGCACTAGCTGATTCATCTGCATGAGAAGGGTTAATTTTTGCCGGGTAGTTGAGTTGCATTTGTGAGTTCATCATACCAAATAATAACCACAAGACATCCTTTGAAAAATCTAGGTCATCTTAAGAGCACTTCAATTCTGAGCTGTCATGAGCTTTAATAATGATATGAGTAGGGTAAGTATGGAGAAAGTTTGACTGTACTTTTAGGTGGTGTGGAGAGTGATATGTCTAAAACCAAGGATAGATGGGGCATGACATGTATAGGGTGGAGGATTTTGAACATATCATAGATAGTTTTACTGGAGATATAAATATTTTTTTTGGTATGTAGGGTGTACCCCTAGTAAATATTTATATACTGTTTATACTTTTCATCTCAAAAAAAAAAATAATGAGTAAAGTGGGTCGACCATGCACAAAGATGTGTTGAGGCAGAGGAAGACTGGAGCAGATCTATTTGTGTTGTGAGTGAGATGGAAAGGATGAGATAGTTGGTAGACTACATAGTGGTTTGTGTGATGAATTAATTAATAATTATTTTATATTATAATTTTAATAAGTATTGAAAGTACACGGAACTTATTGCAACTCATTACGTATAATTTTCATATTAGTATGTAATTACACAGATGACATGCGTGCACAATAGAAAGAGACGGAATTACCCAAATGCATTAGATTTCAGAGTATCAAGCCTTATTGATGAACAATTTG